TATCAATAAAAACCCAAGAAAACGCATATGGTTCAGTTATGAAATGAGATTGTGCGGGTTGAGTGTCACAAACTCTGTTCAATATTAATTCTGATGTGTTAATGCTTTCTTTTTCAATCATTGATCAACCATTATATCATTTTTTTTTAAATCTTTTCATCTGATTGTGATGTTTTTTTCAACTTTTTATCTGACTTTGAATTTTTTTCAAAAATCTTGCTTTACAAGTACTCCTATTGATCTCCTGAGACGAGAAAAGATGATTAGGATAATTCTGATTTTTGTTAAATTACCCGGGTTGAAAATGATGCTTGTTATATCAATTTCATATATGAAAAAAATGCTTATAATACTTCCTCTTTCATATAATTTCATTGAGTAAAAGTAAGTGTATGAAAACAGCAAAGAAGGAAATTTTTTCCATACTATGAACATACAAAAAAATTTTGTTTTGAAACTTTGTGTTTCATCCGTAACACTAACAGCGGATTTTTGTCATAAGTAAACCCAGAGTGTAACTGGCAGTTACCACGCAGATAAACTGCATTTGGTGATTTCAGACATTTAGGTTTTTTAGAACATTTTCACAAGGAATTATTAACCAAAATTGTAACTTTTTGTATATGGATAGATAACTTTTACTTTGAAAATTTTGGTGGTTGAGAAAAAAGCCTGTTTTGTTTTACAAAACTACATTTATCTTAGCAAATGAAACAAAAAAATTGTAATCGTGTTAACAATAAAAACCCTATTTTGTGATTTTTGGAATTTTTGGGTAAAAGGTCTTCCTAGACTACGTTATAAACACGAAAAATCAAATTTTGCATGCATCCTAGATATAATTATTTGAATATTTTTAAAGTTACCCAGCCACGCTTTTTAGTGATAATGAAAACTTTATTTTTTCCATGACCAAATGATTTTCTTATAAAAATCATGCATGAAAAATGTATGACAAGCATTTTTTATCGAAAAATTTAAATATCTTTTTTAATGACCGGAAAGCTTCGAAAGAGTCAAATAGACCAAAAACGTTCTTTAAAAAATTTTCAAAACAATTCTTAATTTTGTATGAATTTTTTTATGATAAGCATTTTTTCCATAGACATCTTATATGAAACTGTGATAAGCATTTTTCTTCTATGGACGTCAACCCGAGTAAGTAGCATTGTGTGGCTCATTTGTTACTTGAAAGCTAATTATTCCGCGTTCTGGTGCAAACTGTTGTTCTATTGTTCTGTTCTAATTAAGTTTAAGTTTTGTAATGATTTTAGCTGATTTGGTACTTAAGTGTTTGATTTTTTGTATATACTTGTGTTGTTTCACGCTTTCAAAAAATCAATCAAATATACAATTTTAGATGAAGAAGAATTCAATCACAGGAAATTTCAAAAAGTTGAACTTATTTCTTAATGAAAAAACCTAGTTTGTTTATTACTGGGAAAAATTTTCCTTTGGCAGGCTAAATTTTTGTTTTGCAAGTATCACAGAAAGCTCAACTTACTATGATATGGCAAACAGTTCCATAAAAAAAATTTGGAGCACCGGAATATATACAAAATCACAAGAAATTCATCCTTGTAATTTTTGCTGATTTGTGAGAAAAAATTACATTTTCGCAGACAAATTCTTGTTTCTTTGAAAGTATTTTGATTGAGAGTAGAAGTGAAATTGCAAAAAACTTCCTGCGATTTTGGAATTTTTTTGGTCATGTGTAAAAATGCTTGAAATCCAATTTTATGTATGACAAACATTTTTTTTGCAAACTCCACGTTTGGAGTTATTTGATAAGTTCTTCTTCTTGCATGCAAGTCAGCCCCTCTAATATGAAACGCTTCTCCTTTACTTAAAGGCATTTAGACATAACAGGAGCGGATCTAGGATTTTCTCATAGGGGGATTTTCAACAAACTTTCAAAAGTTACGTCAACCATTTTTTTTTGATCAAAAAATTTGACTTCCGAGCGCTCCAAAGCAATAAGCAACAGAAAGACCTTATTTGGGCCAATTATTCTGCACCGCAAGCAAAGTTTTGAAAAAATACAAAAACTATGTTTTTACCGCGCGCGCTTCTGCTCAAAATTATTATTTTTGGGCCAAAGGCGTCATAAGAAACAATTTTAAGGTGTTTAGCCCAAAATTGATATCTAAAAATAGTGCAAAGGATGTTAAAAAATTGATATTTAAAAACAGTGCAATGGATGTAAAAATTGTACAAACAACTCTTTGGGCCGACACGGGGTTGATTTCCTGAGGTGAGTATCATATTTGAACAATTTTTAGTTATTGAATTCAATTCTTGGTGTTGAACTTTTTTTCTGGTGCTGAATGTCCGATGGTGACAAATCAGTGATTTAGATTTGGTATTAAAACACAGACACTAAGGTATTTGGAAAATTTTTGAACTCGCTTGATCGGACGTCAAATTTCTTATGGTGCAGCCAACAGGAAATAGCCTCGGGGAAGGAAAAAATCTGTTGGGGGATAACGGCCTTTTGACCAAGCCAATATGTCACGATTCCAATGGTATGGGAACACTGGATGAAACCGCTTGATTCGGGTGTTATCGCGAAACACGGCTTAATTCCGACGTCGTTTCATTACAATAAGTGACTATCATCAGCGCAAATCACGGCGCTAGCAACGGACGTGTTGGGAAAAAACAGCGTCGTGGCGGAGCAGACGCTAAATTTTAAATTTGATTTGTGCACGTGGACAAGGTCAGCTGCACAAAAGGAAAACCCCACCTAGATCTGGCCAAGATCCGATAAACTAGATTTTTGGATGAAATTGAAAAAATCTTTAAAGAGGAAGTAAACGGATCGTTCGAAATCTACCAGCTACTTTCGCGAAAACATTCAGGGGGGTGAACCTTGGAGCAATTTCACTCAGTACTGAGCGGGTTGGCGGTGCGGTACAGTCTGTGGACACTGGAGAGGCGAATTCTTAGGGGCGTATTCACAAATGGAACGCGCTGTCAGAACGAGGTATACAACGTCGCGCTTTCATAATATTGGGGAAATAAGTCCGCAAATTTTTAAAAAGTACTGGAGGCGGAACAACGACAGATTCGGCGAGGGCACTACCAATCAAATCAGAGCCTATATGTGCTACCTGAGGGATACAGACGGCCATTCTAACGGGGCAGCCGAGGATCATTCAGAGGTAACACTAGTGATGGCGCGGATCTACGTTGTTTTGATTACCATCAAAGCAAGTTTAGGACAAATCACATCGCAAAATGCCGGCCATAAACGCTGCTTGTAACTATTGCAAGAAGCCGGGTTACTTCGAACAAACAAACTGGGGAATCGCGGTAGAAACCGGGGGCGGTTCGGATTAACGCACTGGGAGGACGGAATTACGGGGACGGTCAATATTCAACAATCGCAAGCCCAACAGATGTGAGGACCATCAATTGTGAGGACGGTCAAAAACCAGCAATCGCAAGCCCATGGATAAAACTCATATAGCTGTAATGATAACGTGGTGACGTCAAATCGAAAACAGAATGAGGAATAAAAGCTGAAGGTCGCAGGTGCAAAGTTACAGCTTAAAATTAACAGTAGGTTAATGCAAAACTGAATAGTTAGCGGCTCATTCATGTCCAATTCTAAGATCGAGAAGCCAAAAGGTACCCTTCGAGCAGCGATTGTGTACCGGAACAACAAAATGGGAGTTTTTTTACCTAGTACGCTGCAAAAAAAGTCGATAAGGAAACCGCTAAGCTCTTAATGCAGAGCCATATAAAAAAGCTTTACGAATGTTTAGATAACTACTTTGTATCGTAATCAAAGTAAAAAAAGACTGATCATTTAAACTAGCTTACGAGTAGCAGAAAAAGAACGAACAGGTGCGAAAAAATTAAGTAACAAATGCCAATTGTCGAAGAACTAATTGATAAAATCGGACAAACGATCAGCGGGAAGAAAGCGCCAAAGAATTTTTATTACGACTTGGGATCTTTCATGAGCATATGTGCAAATACAGTTAGGTGTGGAAACTAGTAACCGCTGTAACTTCGCCATGGTTGGTAAAAAGTCCA